CGTACTTGTTGAGAAAATTGGAGAATTCTGAATGAAAACTATTCACTTACAATCATGAAACTTTTAAGACCTCTGTGGCAAAAAGTAGATGCGGTGAATGAATCTCACGTCCTTCAACAGTTATGAGAGAGAACCTCAGTTTCATTAACTCTGGAGATCAGTGATCTATTTGGCATCCAAAAATAAAATCTCCCTCCCACTGAACTCAACTCCTGGTCATGATAAGAGCCGAGGTGGCGCAGTGGTTAAATGCAGCACTGCAGGCTACTTCAGCTGACTGCAGTTCTGCAGTTNACTTGCTTTGCTTGATCAAAGCCTAGGGACATTAAGAATACCGTGAGAGCCCATAAGAATCCAGCTTGTGATCAATTACCTGTTCCCAGGGGGAGGGGAAATTGTCAGTCAACACTTGTGGTGACAGTCCCTCTGGAAAGAAATGCATTTTAAGCCAATGAATGGTCATCATCTTCCAGGCTCTTACCTGAATTTGAGGCAGGACTGCGAGGCAATCAAACTGGTCAGTCCTAGAGGAGATCAACCCTGACTGCTCTTTAGAAGGCAGTCTTTAGAAAACTCAAATACTTTGGCCACCAAAGAGAAGGAAGGACTCACTGGAGGAGAGCTTAATGCTGGGAACGATGGAGGGCAAAAGAAGGGGACGACAGAGAATGAGGTGGCTGGATGAAGTCACCAAAGCTGTCAGGATGAGCTTAAATGGACTCCAGAGGATGGTAGAGGACAGAAAGGCCTGAAAGAACATTGTCCATCAGGTCGCAATGGGTCGGACACGACTTTGCAACTAACAACAACACAACAACTTGAACAGTTGCATCCTGTCCATGTAACGTTCCATGAAAACTGTCTTTCCATAGGGCAACCAATTTTTTTCTTAATTGAAATGAGGTTGTGTCATGTGGCTTGTGCAGCATAGTTGAGTTCTGAGTCCAACCACATTTTTAGAACTCTTCCTCATCTCAAAGGAGTGAAGGAGCCCTTTGATGGATTTATCAGGAACTCTTCCTTTAGCTGCTTAATGACAGTCATGGGGCAAGAATGATTTTGCAGTGCTGCATGCAATATAAAACACATTCTTAGATCCTGAGCAAGGATTTCAAAATTCAGAGACGGACTGAAAATGTCCAACAACACAGTGAGCAAGTTTTCAAGATTAGTAAGGTGGAGAGAGGAGAAAGAGGGAGGAGGAGGAAAAACAAAATAACAGGGATACTATTGGTTTTTAATGCCAATGAAGACTTGGAGATTAACGTGGACAATATGTTGAAGCAGTACGGATCAAACAGAAAAGCATGTACAGATGGCTTAAAAGCATTTGTTTAATGACTGTTAAAATTCCACTGTCACTGAAAAAAGTGACCTATGATCCATCTTCATACTTATAACCATTACAGCATCCTATGTGATCAAAATTATAGCTCTAGGCAATCAGTATATGTATACAACTATTCCAGCATCCTGTTCTGAGCTAGGCTTTCCCAAAAAGCATGAGACAGAGTCCCTGTCCCGACAAAACCCCTTTTATTAAACGAATGTGAATTCCTCTCATTCACATTCAGAAAGGCCTGGCATACAGTCGTTCAAAGGGATATTTATGACCACAGACCTTATCTATCTTGGAAAGCTGCCATGTCAATATTTTCCAAATGAGGTGCTGTGCAAGGAAAGACCGGGCACAGAGTCTCTGAGATTCACGGATAGATCTTCACACTACTGAAACGAATCTAACAACTGAACAAACAAATTGTTTCCTGCAAAAGCCCCCTTCCCTTTCACTCCTCTTTTATTTCCTATGGGAGAGGTCAATCACCCTCCACTTGTGAGGTTACTACCAAGTCTACCCTGGTTTCTGAGTTCTTCTTTTCTTCTGGTAGCTCTGTGCATGTGCACACTGGGAACAGGCTCCAGCTGTTCCTCTGCCTCACTGCTGTCTAGCTCCAAAGGCAGCTGAGAACTGCCAGACGGCCTCGGCCCCGTTTCTGCCTCCAATCCAGAGCCCTCATCTGAGTCTTCCCCAGCCTCCAGGCCTGGCCCATGTTCCTCCCCAACCTCCACACTGTCCAAATCTGCTGCCAGCTCTGGTGGCCACTGGCGGGCCACAACACATCCTGGGGGTCTGGTGATCATCATTTGCTACTATCCAGCCCTGTCCCAAAAGCAAAGTCAATAGGGGAACTACTACTACTATTATATGTGAAGTGCTTTCGGGTTGAAAGGACTGAACAGTGATAAGACTGTTACTCACAGGACTCAGTCAGGGAAATCTTCTCACGTCCCCATTAAGTTGCCCATCGAAATGGTACCCATTTATCTACTTGCAGTTGCCTGCCTTCAAACTGCTGAGTTGGCAAGAAGTAGAGCATGTGCAGGGAGCTCACCCTGTCCCACGGCAGAAACTGGGACTCAAACGTGAGCCTGTTGATTTTCAGCCCAGCGTAGTGATGGTAAACCTTTTTGGCATTGAGTGCCCAAACTAGAACATGCATACATGTGTGCACAGGCGCCATAGTGTGGGAAACCTGAACACAAGCTAACTGGCGTGCACATGCCTGTTTTTGGCTGTTTGGGGGGCATTTTCAGGCCATTTCCAGGCCTTTTTGGGGCCAAACATGGCTTGTAAATGGTCCAGAAAATGGCCTGAAAACAGTCCCAAAAATGGCCTGATTTTGGCTGTTTTTGGCCACTTTTGGGCCATTTTCCAGTGCTCTGGTTCCTGCGAAGACGGCTGGCGGGCACCCGTGTGTGCATCAGAAACCAGAAAAGCAGTTGGCAATGACATACATGCCCAGAGAAAGGGCTCTGCATGCCATAGGTTCCCCATCATGGTCATAGGGGAAGCTGAATTGGCTTGACTACTATGTGATTCACTTAACAACTATGAAAAATGCTTGTAAAATCAAGTGCAACTCACTTAGCAGCGCCCCTTGCTTAGAAATGGAAATTTTGGTCTCAGACCTGGCCATAAGTTGAGGACTACTTGCATAGAACTTTATTCATTTGTTACAAAAACGAGTACTATATTCTTATTCTTTCAATTGACTACTAGTCCAGAGAAGGCTGGATTAGAGCTTAGAAAGCTCACAATTCACAAAAAAGAAGTGATCCAATTTGAGACCAGTTTGATGAAGGAATCTGGAGATCTTAAATATTAGCTTCCCATTTTTGAGTAGCTCTAATTATTGGTACTGCCTTTCTGAATTTTAGCTGAGCTGTTTATGCTTTCCAGGCCATTTGGGGAGGGGGGGATTCCTACAATAGCTGATTCTTCTTTATCTCTCAGATAAGCCCAAAAGGATTTGGCTAACTTTAAAGCAAGTCAGGCGGTGCAGAGGATTTAATTTTGGGCAGCTGATTACTCTGCCTCTTTCCTGCAGCGAAACTCTAGCTGAGCCTGAATCAAATTGGAGGTTTGGACTAGCTGCCCACTAAGCTCATTTGCAGCTACGATTTTATGGGAAATGATTACATTACTCAACAAAAGCAAGTGTTGAAATGTGCTACAAAAACTTTTCTCTCCGTTGTTAAGAGATTACACACACTTTATGGTCTGTTGCTCCCCTCTGGGAGGAGGTTTCAAAGTATTTCTACCAAGGCTACTCAATTCTCTAACAGCTTTGTTCCCTATGCCATCCGTCTGATAAACTCGTGTTTCTCGCCATGTACATGTATATATCTGAACTGGACAGTGGTGTTTCTCTGTGACATATAATATACATAATTTTGTATTTATTTATTTATGTTGTCATGTTTATGTAATGTATATTAGAGGTGGTGACTCTTGAAAGCTGTAAGCAACGGAATTTCATTTTAACGTACGCTGATTAGTGTACATTCAAAGTGACCATAAAGCTATGAGAGAGAGAGAGGGAGGGAGGAAGAAAAGTGAGAGGGAAGAGAGAAGAAAGAGAGGGAGAAAAGTTTGTGTGTGAGAGTGAGGGAGTGAGTGAGGGAGAGAGAGAAAAAAGAGAGAGAAAAGAGAGAGAAGAGAGGGAGGGATAAAGGTGTGTGTAAGAGAGGGAGAGAGAGAAAAGAGAGAGAAAAATGTGTGTGGGAGATAGAGAAGGAGGGAGAGAGAAAAAAGTGAGAGATAAAAGAGAGAAAGAGAGAGACAGAGAGATAAGAGGCAGATAAATAGATAAGCGAGCGAGAGAGAACGAAGGAGGAAGAGAAACAGATAAATAAAAGAGAGAAAAATAAAGGAAGAGAGAGAGAGAGAGAGAGAGAGAGAGAGAGAGAGAGAAATAGATAAGCGACCGAGCGAGGGAAAGAGAGAACGAAGGAGGGAGAGAAACAGAGAAATAAAAGAGAGAGAAATAAAGGAATAAAAGAGAGAGAGAGAGATGAGAGAGAGAAAGAGAGAGAGAGAGAAGCCTCAAATCAGAACACAACAGGTTAACAAACCAGCACGTGACAGCATGAAAACACGGCTTGCAAAACAGTTTTTAAAAACCTTGTGTTTTTCAATCTTGGTTACTTTAAGAAGGGTGGACTTCCACTCCCAGAATTCCCTAGCCAAGACTGAATTAAACTAACGCGGACTAACAAAAACCCAAACCAAATGCACGAAGGGCGTCTACAAAAACAAAACAAAAATAGGAATCCTAACTCCCTGCAGGGGTCCCAGCGAAATCGCATCGACTCGATCGGCGATCGATTGTGCCTCGGCGGTAACGCAGAAGGCAAAGGAGACCCAGATCTCCCACCCACCCTCCGTTTGTTTTTGTGTATGTGTTTGTGTGTCCCCTTTCCATCGATGTTTCCGCTCTCAAGTCGCCCATTTTGGATGGCTTCCAGAAAAAAAAAAAAAGAGGCGGAGGAAGGGGCGCGAGGCTAGGCGGGGACGCCCCTTTTGGCTTCTCATTGGTTCCGAGAAAAGCCGGGGAACAGCGGATTGGCTGGAGCCCCTCCTTTTAAAGGAGCGACCCTCCTCATTTCGGCTTCGGAGGGCGATGCGGGCGGAGCTCTGGCGTTTTGCTTCCGTTAGCCCCGCGCTCGCCGGCGGGGCGACTCTGAGAGCTATGGGGGCACCGGCGAACGCCTGGCGGCTCTTCCCGGCCGCCCCGCTGGCCTTGCTAGCGCTGCTCCTGCTTGGCTCCCAGCTGCCTGCTGTGACCCCGGGACAGCCCCGGGGCAAGACTGGCCCCCCGGGTCCCCCCGTCGTGCTGGGTAAGGGGGCGGGTGGGTGTTGCCCGCTGTCCCCGAAGTAGCACCACCATTTTCTCCCTATACCAATTGGGTGGGTTCCCTCTTTTTTTTGCAAACCCGGGTCAGCGGAGGCGGGTTTGCAGGTCGTGGGGATGGCAAATATGCGTGTCGGCCCCAATTGGGTTGCTTTGCAAAGGGGGCTTTGCAAAGAACACCACCACCACCAGGGTCAGGGTATAAATCCACGCGTGTGCATGGTGAAAAACTGGAGACCGGGGCAAAAAAAGCTTGCACGCGGCGAGGGGAGTCGTGGGAACGGCGCTCCGACGGCAACCGCCGCGGCTCTTTGCGAGTTTCGGAGCTCTTCTGCGGCCGCAACCACCGAGGCTTTCTTAGAAATAGGCTGGGCGTAAGAGGTATCTGGGTTTGCCTCTTGTTTTCTCGTCTTGCCTCCTTATTTACTCGTTGAGGCCCATTTGCCTAATTTGGGATTGTGGAGTAAAGGGAAGAGGTTTTAGGGAGTTGTGGCAACCTGAATTAGGGGGAGCTGAACTGAAGGGGTTCCCCCCCCCTTTTCAAAAGGGAAGTCGGTGGAAAAACATTAATATGTGCATGTATTTTAAAATTTGGTTAAGTGTAATTTGCCATAATGGGTGTCTGTTGGTGGTTTATGGCTTAAACCAGAGGTCTTCAAACTTGGCAACTTTAAAACTTGTGGACTTCAATTCTGGGAGTGGAAATCCACAAGTCTTAAAAGTTGCCAAATTTGGGGACCTCTGACTTAAACTTTTGTTTGGGGGAGGAGAGCCAAAAGTAGCCCAGGTTGTCTGTATACAATTGGCCTGAGAGATGGGGGTGATGCTGGGAAGGGAAACCAGCCAGTGCTACTTACCTGTACCAAACACCTTGCAGGTTTAACAAGTCATTTATTTCTCAATGGCAGTAGAAAATGAGATGCTTTCTTGATTGGCAAACAAAGCCTCAGTCCAGACTAACCCTAGCATTAAAAACAGGTTCGGGCTGATCTATAAGACCTCCAAGGTCCCTTCCAGCTCTGTTCTGACTCTGGTCTTTTAAAATGCTGGTTTTGCTTTTGTGCTTAAAGGCAAAAGCAGAAAATAAACTAAAAGGAAGATCTGTTTATCTTTGAAACCAGGGACAGATGCCTGTAAGTCTGCTATTGGCTATAATCATTATATTGATGCAAGACTAATCAATGCGAAACAGAAGTCAGTCTGTCTGTGGTTTCTGGATATCAGTGTTAACTTCTGTGTCATGTTTAAAGGCTGCCTTTAACTCCACTAAACTCTTTTAAGGTCTACATCCTGCAATAATTCTAACAGAGCGAATGGATTTATGAGAGCATCTGTTCTGTATGGGGAAATTCCTATCACACCATTTTTTTCCTTGCAGAAATTTGCAAAGCCTGCTGATTTCAGATATGACCCTAAATAGAAATCACATTTTTTATTTCACTTGTAAGCTTTATTGTACAGAGATGAACAGGAAAAATTAAGGTTTTTTTTAAAATGCTTAATATAATGTTTTACAGAAAGGATTGTTTTCTCTCTTAAACTAGGTATAAGGGGAACTATATATTTAAATTGTGAGTTGCTATATATATAAATAGAGAAGGGGGAGAGAGGGATGGATGGATGCCTTCAGCTATTTATTCCTTTATTGTCGTGTCTTTGTGGGGAAAAATGCTTTGGCCTTTAATCTGAGGCTGAAAATGCTGAAACTAAGATTATATTACATACATCATCTGATAGGCAGATGTTCAAGATAGGACTGTAATTCATTAACTAAGCATTTTTTTATGAATAAGATTTTTTTTTAAAGTAACTGGTTTCTGTAAGAATTCCAAATACGTAATTTATGTGGTAGTATGAGTTTCTTCTCTCAAATTTTTGAGCAGAAAACATTTGGTAGTTGAGTGCCCAGAGAAGGGATTGATGTACGCAGATATGTTCTGAGTTCAGGTCCAGAACAGAGGACTTCAAGGTCTGGAGTTTTGTCCAAAGCTTCAGTAAACTCTGAAAGACAAACCTTTGGGTTTTTTAAAAAGTCATTTTATTTTTATTTAAACGAAATGCTTCATTAGGAAAGAGAGAGAGAGAGAGAGAGACAGCTAGCTGCTCTTCTGGTTTCTGGCTGGCACATGCGCTTGGCTAGCTAGTCTTTATGGGCACCAGAGTACCAGAAAACAGCCGGAAAATGCCCCCCAAAACAGGCCGTTTGGGAACTGTTTTCAGACCATTTTCTGGGCCATTTACAGGCCGTGTTTTGCTAGAAAAAGCCCAAAAATCAGCCTGAAAATGGCCTGAAAATGCCCCCAAATGGCCAAAAAGCCAGGCATGTGGGTGTCAGCCAGCTGGTATCCAGGTTTCTGGCACACGGAAACATACATGTACACATGTTGTGGCTTGGACACTCGGTGCCGAAAAGGTTTGCCATCACTGCGCTGGGCTGAAAATTGACAGGCTCATGTTTGAGACCTGGTTTCTCCCGTGGGACAGGGTGAGCTTCCGGCACATGCTCCACTTCTTGCCAACTCAGCAGTTCGAAAGCAGGCAGCCGCGAGTAGATAAGTGGGTATCATTTCGATGGGCAACTTAATGGGGACATGCATGCATATGTCAGAAAACAGCCTGAATACGCCCCAAAAAACAACCTGAAACCGCCCAAAAAATAGACAGGTGCGTGCCGGCCAGCTGGTCTTCGGGTTTCCGGCATGTACATACACGCATGTTCCAGTTTGAGTACTTGGTGCCAAAAAGGTTCGTCATCATTGTCTTAGAAGCTCTCCATACCTTCCTTAACCATCTTGGTGGGAAGAGAACAGCGTTAAGTGATGTCATACTGGCCTCATGATCATGGAAATGTCTTTGGACAGCACTGGCTCAATGGCCTTGAAATGGAGATGAGCATGCCATCCCCTAAAGTTTTCACCAACTAGTGGAGTAAAATCTGTAGATGACTCCCTTTCATCTTTACCTGGTTGCCATGGCAATTGAGACCCACACCTGTCACTGAGCAAAGCAGTCGTAAAGCATGCTGTGACCGCATGGCTTAGCGACAACAATCCTGACAGGTCTCCATTGTCATTAAGTGAGGACCTGACATGACCGCCACTTGCGTGATGTCCTCCCAGCTTCCAACAAAGTCAGTGGAGAAGCCAGCGGGAAGTTGGAAGACCATAACAGGTGGCTCAGGAATCGCCCGTGTTTGTGTTACAACATGGATGCCGGTGGGGGCTTGGGTGGGTACTATGGTGGAGGGGGAGCTGTGGCATGGTGTGAGTCTGGTTGGACATTCAAGTGGGGGGGAGGGGGGCTTCTCAAGAGAAAAAGCAGGAATTGGCTTCCCCATTGATTTTCCTGTTTCTCCCTCTTTATGGAACAAAGTTGTATTTTCTTTTTACTCTTGCCCTCTTCTGCTTGCTTGGACCTTAAAGAGGAGAAAAAAAATACAGGTAGTCCTCAACTTACGGCCACAATTGAGCCCAACGTTCTTTGGTAAAGTGAGACATTTGTGAAGTGAGATTTGCCCCATTTTGCGACCTTTCTTTTCACGGTTGTTATGTGAATCACCGCAGTTGATGTCAGTAACACGGTTGTTGAGTGATTCTGTCTTCCCCTTTGATTTTGCATGGCAAAAGTTTGCAAAAGTGGTCACATGACCTTGGGACGCAGCAATGGTCGTAAGTATGAGTCAGTTCCCAAGCATCTGAATTTTGATCACATGATCCTGGGGATGCGACAAAGGCTGTGAGTGTGAACAAGGGTCCTACCTCAACTTTTTTTAGTGCCATTGTAACTCTGAGCAGTCACTAAATGAACTGTTGTAAGTTGAGGACTACCTGCACTGGGGATGAGTATCAGAGAAGGGATCGTGAATTAAATACATTTAAGGTTGCTTTAATGTAATTTTATTTCCACATGCATGTTATTTAGCTACCATCTAATTCTGAAGCACAGATATTTCTAGTTTGGGGCTTCTGTTTCCTTCCTAGTTAGATTTCATTTCTTGTTTATACGCTTTTCTACATGTCACATGCTTGTTTCCAAGTTCTAATAATAACCAACTGAGTTACCATTTGTTGATCACATACGTAGTTCCGTGAACTGTTCTTGGTGGACAGTGAAGGGTAATGTTTCACAATTCTTGGAAAAACAGACTACTTGTACAAGTAAACCTCATTCAAGTTTTGCAGGGGAGAATAAGTTTTAAGAGAAGGAAAAATACCAGAGAAAACAAATATATCCTGAACTTTGCTAATGTATCCAGAAGGTTAAATTCTTAATCAGTTTCAAGATAATAGTGGTCTAAAGTTTCTAATTTTCTGTGTCATGTTTCTAATTGGCTAACCACACTGGAGATTTTCCAGCCTGCCTGAAAATAGTTTTCATTAGTTATTCTCTCCAATTATAGAATGGCATTTAGGGATAATTCCTGTCTACTTTGCCTTTGCTTGAAAAAAATCAGAATCAGAAGAGCTGGAGGTCTTCTAGTCCAGCCCCCTGCTCAAGCAGGAGTACTATACCCGTGATGGTAAACCTATGGAATGTGTGCCGTAGGTGGCATGCAGAGCCCTCTCTATGGGTACACGAGCCGTGACCCCAACTCAGCTCTGCTGCGCATGTGCGCATGCCTCCCGCAGGCCAGCTGGTTTGGGGGTTTCTACCATGCATCTGGCCTGGTTATTAAATGGATAGGAAGCCACCAGGAGATTTATAAAGACCTAAACTGGATTGGAACATTACAGTCCATGCAGGAGGTGGTGAATTGCCTTTCCGTGGTCACCACTTCTTTCTTCCTTTTGCACACATACCAACCGCAGCTTCTGTGTGGGTTGGTGCAGTGTTGAAATCCCATTGAACTGTGTGGGAATCCATAAAAAAGACATAGGGTTGTGGCAATCCCAGTGGTTGCTCTTGCTTCCCCACCCCCAGCATGACAGGAGTTCCCATAAATTCTCCTAAGAAGGCTGTTTATTCTGCTAATCTCATTTAGATGCTTTACGAGCCCCGGTGGCACAGTGGTCAGAATGCAGTAGTATTGCAGGCTAACTCATTGCTGACTGCCAGCAGTTCGATGCAGACCAGCTCAAGGTTAACTCAGCCTTCCATCCTTCTGAGGTGGGTAAAATAAGGACCCAAATTGTTGGGGGCAATAGGCTGATATTTGCAAAATCACTGAGAGGGCTGTAAAGCACCGTGAAGTGGTATATAAGTCTAAGGGGTATTGTATCCTCCTTGGCAGAATTCTTTGACTTCTAAGCCATAAATATGATAGCAATAGCAGTTAGACTTATATACCGCTTCATAGGTGCTTTACAGCCCTCTCAGTGATTTTGCAAATATCAGCCTATTGCCCCCAACAATTTGGGTCCTTATTTT